CCTTACAGGCTGTGTACTGTCGGAACCAGCCTTCGACATTTAGTCAACACAACAGAAAAGTAGTTGGCCGCCTAGACAGTTAATTTCAGGATTAAGGGGCAGGTCTATTTCACCCCACCCCAAACCTCTTCCTGTGTGAACAGCTGACAGCACACTATTAGTGCCTCTAATGGAAGCCCATTGAAGTAAAACTTCTTTTTTATGAGTAATTTACTCTTTGTCAAACTCTAAACAGAATTCTTCCTGACAGCAGGTTTTGATGGTGACAGGAAGGGAGGGCTGGATAGAGTGTGATTACAAGTAGGTGCCTGAGACGCAGGGGTACCAAACAACGGGGAGACAGGATCCAGTAGTGTTCAGATCGCTGACTCCCCAAATGGCTCTGCTCCAGTCTCTTTCTCCACTCCAGCCAGCAGCCAATTCATCCAGTTAAACTCCTCCACTCATTCTGGAAGAAATCTACGTTGGCAGATAATAGTAAGGCTGACCTGGATATTTTAGGCAACTTTAGGGATTCTTTATCTCCATTTAACCATCCATCCATCTAACCATTACATCTTTCTCGCATCCACATATCCAACCATCACAGTATTACTATTCATCACCCATCACCCATCAATCATTCCATCCAACTACCCATTCAAACTTCCATCCATTCATTTACCCACTCACTCACCCACTTAACTATCTATCCATCTTTCCATAAAACCATGCAACTATTCATTCATCCAAACAACAATCCATCCATTTATTTCACCATAAAACCATTCGGTCATCAATTCAGTCATCCACCCAATCATCCATCACTCATAATCTATACAGCCATCCATCTGGTCATCCCAACAGTTATCCATCCATTTATTCATCCATTTTCCAATCACCTAGCTAGTCAACTACCTTCAACTCACTCAAGCATCCAATCACCTAACCAACCATCCATCCATCCACCCACCCATTTAACCATGCATTCATCCATTTGTCCAAATGTCCATTCACCCAGCCAATTACCCATCTGACGATGATTCCAATTATACTTTCATCCTTCCTTCTACCTCATCTATAATGGGATTCCAATTTATGTCAGCATCTACTCTGTGGACTGATTCCAAGAACAGTACTCCGTGCTTGATTCTGAGGAAACAGAGATGAAACCAACAGTACCTGCCCCCAGGGAGCTCAGAGTCGTGTGTGTGTGGGTGGGTGGGTCTATCTCACCCTTGGTGATGGTTTTCTATCTATCAGATTCTAGCTGAGACTCCAATCATCAAGTCCTCTGTCATCTCCACTGACATGGATGCCAGCCAATTGGTGACCCTGGATTTCACCAACATGAATAGAGGGAGGAGCCTATACTTATGCTTAGCATCCAATCAAATGGATCCATGCTCTGCTGTAAGTGGGCAGCAACAGAGCTCAAGATGTCCTTAGAACTTCTCCAGATGTTCCTCGCAGTCCCCTACACTGGATGCTTGGTTCATCCACTGGAAAATTGGCATGAAAGTCATTTTTCATCTCAACCCCGATCTCCTCCAATTCTTTTAGTAGTAGCTCACTGATTCTTCCTTTGGGGGACTCCTCCTCAATTTTCTGCTCACCCTAAATCCAGTTCTATGGGTAGCTCATGACTCAGTTTGGTCAATGATACACAATCCTGGGGCTTTTGCTAGAACCTCTGTGTCTCTCTCTGACAGTATGGTCTTGCTGAAAGATTCTTAAGAGTCATATTTGCCACGCAGGGAAGAGCCTGCCTGAGAAGTAAAACCACACCGGAAAAAGTAATTTGATCATCTGGATCCAGCTATGCCTGAAGACAGATATCACCTAAAGATCCTGGAGACTTTTTTTTCTTTGGCTTAAGCCAATTTGAGTTGGGTTTTACATTCCTGCAACTGAAAAATTTCTGGAAAAGACCAACACATTTGGAAGCCTCAAGAGCGGGTAATTATGTAGTGACACTCGATCCTACTTCAAAATGTAAACGTGGTTTTATTAATGCCTTTTTCCGTCACAAAGTACTGCCTCCTCCCAGGGTCCCCTCTTCCTAGAAAACAAGATGGCAGCATAAGGCACGTGCACTGTCCACATGACATCAGGTTAAGTCCTTAAAAACGAAAATGAGCAATGGCCCTCCCCACGGCCCCGAATCGCCTCCCTCACTGTGTTGAAAGAATGATTGTCCCCCCCACAAAGCACAACTTGGGGCAGAGAGGCTTAAATTAGAACTGTGCACCGCCCCACATGCCAGCTTAGAAAACAAAAACCAACGACTAAGAAAACCAACAACACAGGTACAAGAGCATAATACCAGAGTAATGCGATTAGTCCATAAATTAAAAAGGAAAAAAAAGAAAAGAGCTTGTCCCTTCCTCACCGCCAGCCCTCCCCCGAGTCAGCAGTTCCTTGCTTTTGTTCTGTGAGTCTTGTAGAAAGGTCTGGTCTCCAAGCCAGCCCTTTTCCCCAAAGTTAAGTATTCCAAAGCCATTACTGGGTACTCTGTTTCTCAGGACCCGTGTTTGGACTGAAAGGACAGCTTCTGACACGGTCACCAGACACATCCTCTTGGCTGGAGGGACCCAGCCTGGTGTCCAGCATCTGGCAGGGAGGCGGAGGCAACGAGGGGTCTGGGTGGGTGGGATGCATCTGTGATGGCAGGTGGCGATGCAGCCGGTTCTGCTATAAATACTCCAGCTCCAGGGCGTGCCTCAGCGCCTCCAGGTCTGCGTGGCAGGATATCCGCCAGAAAGGCATGTTGTGCTGAAACACAGAACAGCAGCCGCATGGTTACAACCCTGCCCCGTGCCTCCCACAGCCCCCGGATCCCAGGCTCATGGTTAAAGCTTTAGGAGACACCACCCTGAGTCAGTATAGCATGCGGGTATTTCCCACACTGGAAGGCACAGAACACGGTTGGCAGAACCCTATGTGGTCAGCACCCACTGGTCTGGCCATCATTTCTATTCCTTTGAGCCTGTTCTGATCAGCTTATCCTGCACTGTTGGACACGTGGACTGTTGGATCCTCTCCCCTCTGTTGGGACCAGTGTGGTCTTAGTGCATTGACAGGGAATTAAACCACGCAGTGAGAAAGCTGTATCTTCTTTTGGGAGGGGCAGTGTAATTAGGTTTATTTACTTATTTATTTGAATGAGGTACTGGGGATTGAACCCGGGACCTTGTGCATGCTAAGTATGTACTGCACCACTAAGGTGTACCCTCCCCCCAAAGCTGTTCCTTCTTAAACTGTGTTCTCAATCCTGCTACTTCAGGAAGAAAGTCTCGGCTGGCTAGGCGCTACTGTGTCCTCACCCCCCAACTCCAATATTCCCCTAATCTCTATTTGAGCAGACAGGGCTGGCCCCAGCCAGAAAGTCTTTTTATCTTTCCCTTTTCTTTACGGCAGGTGATGCTTGCTCTGTTTTACTGTCATGCTATCAAGTTTTCAATCTTAAATAGAAGTAAGTTGACTGAAAGGGACACCTCAGGTAGACGGCAGTACAGGCAGCAGGCAGATACAGCAAACGCTGTGACTGGTGTAAAAGAAGGGCTATGCTGATCATGGAAAGAAATCGCTCAGGTGGGGGAGAAATCTGTGAAATAATCCATAGTGCAAGGGTTAAATGTTGGAGTGCCCTTTGCAAAGCTCTGTTCTACCATCACTAGCTAGGTGACCTTAGAAGACTTTGCTGCTTGTCTGTTAAAATGGGAATAAAATTTGTTGTATCCTTTGTCTATTTTATTTTGCAGATGAGGAGACTGAGGCACAGAGAGGTCCTGTCTGGCTCCAGAGAAAAAACTTGACTCCATGTTTATCACTGGAAAATTTAATCACTGGCTTAAGTTGTTGCCTATCCAACATCCATCCTCCTTTCTTCGTACTACCAGAATGCTGAATTTGGCAGCGCTGTGCCATGGAGGTAGGGGATAAGTTATGATTGTTTAAGTGAGCTATGACAACCCCAACACTGTTTGCCAGGAATCTGTCCTGTATCCCTCCTGACTTGTGACCTCTTGCAGCCAATGAGGAAGTTGACTGGGGACCTCTGGGGAAGATTTTCCTCTATGACTAGAGAGAGAGACACGTGGAACTCCTTCCTTCTTACTTTCCCTTTTTATTTGGATGCTGACATGTTAGTATGTGATGCTTGGAGCTGTGGCAGCTGTTTGGAGATCATGAGACCACAAATCAGAAAATAAAAGGCCAAAGATGGTTAGAAAGGTAGAGCAAAATGATGTCAAGAGATGCTTGGTGAATTTTTGACTTACCAAAACAACCTAGGATACACCTACTTCTAATCTTGTCAGGTGAGCAAGTATTTAAGTCACCATTACATAGGTTTTCTGCTTCCCACAGTTAAAAGACACTGAACCTCCTTAAGACAGTCATTGGCCTTCAATTATTTACTGAGTGAACAGAGGGTGCTTCATGAACATACAGATGCCCAGAGTTCTTATGGTGGTTCTGCTGCCCCATGAGGTTCTATGCCCACAGAGTAGAAACTATATAGGCGTCTTTCTGGTCCCAGGAGCACAAAAAACCCTTTCCTGCCTCTGGGGGCTCCACACCTATTACTCTGGCAACTCTTTGTATCATTGTTCATCTCTATCTTTCTGGTCTGAGGTAGGCAAATGGTAACAGTCCCCCAAAGGCATCTACATCCTAGTTCCTAGAATCTATGACGATGTGAGTTTACACAGCTAAAGGGGTTTTGCAGGTGTAATTAAATAAAGGATCTTGAGACAGGGAGATTACTCAGAGGACAGGGACTTTGTCCGATTGTCCACTGCAGTGTCCCCAACAGGGCCTTCTGCACAGGTGGCACGTATGCACAGGGCTCTTACCAGAGTCACAAATAATAAATTTGTAGGTGAGAAGTAATAATTTCATCTCTTGGTAAGTGCTTTGATGAAACAGAATAGGACAGTAGGGTACACAGCAGTTAGGGGGAGGGTGTCTACTTTTGATAGCTGGGTCAGGGCAGGTCTCTCTAGGGGGTGACATTTAAGCAGGCCCTAGAGAATAAGAAGGAGGGGGCTGTGCCAATGTGGGGCGAGGGAGTCGAGGCCGAAGACACAGCAAGTGCAAAGGCCCTGAGGGAGGTTTGAGCTTGGAATGTCATGTTCATTGCTGCCTTTTGTGGCTCCTGGTGCACAGTGGGTGCTCAAGAAATATTCATGAAAGGAATGAAAAGAGGACGGGAGGGAGAAAAAGAGGGAAGGTGAGTTTCTCCAGCAAAGCCCTCAGTGAACACATCTTTTTCTCTTTTGCTCAAAGGAAGCAGAAAACTATCTCATGGGCAACATATGCCAACTCTTTAATGCTGTTCAGCTCCCTTGCCCTCTCCTCACCCTGACCAAGCCTCTCATTCTCTGCAAAGATGGATTCTGGTTGCCGCCTGGCTAATCCAGTCCCTCCTTAAAGAGTGTATTTCATTTTTCTGGGAGCAAATGAGTGAAGGGGAAAAGACCATCTCAGCTGCCTCCCTCCCAGGCCTGGTGGCTCCAGAGTGGATTTATCACTTGCGGAGAGACAGAGACAGATGACCCACTAAGACAGAGATATTAACACTGTCAGCTGAAAACAGTTGAAGGCCTGGGTTCTGTCCCCATATTTCACGTAGCTCAGGTGTACGGCGGCCTGGGCTAATGAGTTGCATCCGTCAGGCCGGCAGAGCTGCTGGCTCACAGAGCCTGTCACTAATGGGCCGCTTCAGACACTGGCAAGGCCTGTTAGGGGAGCTTGGTGTATGTTGGGGGTGTGTGCCTGAATCTTCTTTGTTGGACTCCACTCTCTTCTGACCAGCTTAGGGGTGCGGCCTGACACTGTTTGAAACTCCTAAATCCACCTCCTTCCCGCCAGACATTTGGAGAAAAACACCCATCAGTTTGCACGTACCAGCTGTGTAGTTCTAGGTAAATTAACTTCGCGGACCCTCAAACGTGTCCTCTATACAATGGAACGGAATGGTACCTGCTTTGCAGGGTTTTTCTGAGGATTAAAGCGATGACGTCAGTAATAAAGCCGTGGTTAAGGCCTGGGGTTAGGTAGGGTGCCAGTTGCAGCCCTGCCACTCGCCAGCTGTGATGGAGATTGCCAGCTGCCTCCCAACACCCGTTCTCCCCTTCACTCTCAGAAAACGCTCCCATTGTTTAAACTAAGTACCCAGTGGCTGAGAAGAAAGGCTACACTTCCCAGCTACCTTTGCGGCAGGGCAGGATCATGTGATTCAAATCTGGCCAATGGGATGTGAGCAGCCGTGACGTCCAACGGCTACACTTCCCAGCTATCTTCGCGGCAGGGCAGGGTCATGTGATTCAAATCTGGCCAATGGGATGTGAGCAGCAGAGCCGTCCATCTCTCTCAGCTGTGCTCTTAAAAGGAGGCAGACCCTTTCCACTCCTGCTTCCGGGTGGCTGGAGTGTGGACGTGGGCTGGCGAGGAGCCGTGCTGCGCTTGGTGGAAAGAGCAGTTCTGGGGCTGGCAGGGCAGCAGGACAGAAGGAGGGCGGGTTCCTGATGCTGGCCCAGCTGTCCGGGCGGCTGACGAGAGACGAAGAAAGCTCTGTACTGTCGAAGCCGCAGTCTGGCCCCTTTGGCAAACCAGACTCTACTCCGCAGACCCTGAGTCCGGCTGGAGACCACCCCACCGGGCCCTTCAGCTGCGTGTCGGCAGCGTGCTTCTCCCGTGCGCTTTGAGCAAACAAGAGAGGTGGGTGAGTGTTCCTGTTGTGTGAAAACTGGGGTTCGTGTGTTTCTGCTCTGCTGGCTCCCCAGGTGGGAGAAGCTGCTCTGAGTTTCTGAAGGTGGAGTTCGCCTTCTCCCCCTCCCCAAGCCCTGCGGAGTAGTAAGCACACAGCTTTGGGCTCCTGAGGGGCTAACAGGTTCTCTGCTGGGCCCTATGTGCAGCTGTGACAAATAAGGAAACGATCAGCTCAGAGAGGGGGCATCATGGGCTGAAGGCCACACAGCCAACAACGGCAGGGCTGGGATTTGGGGCATATATTTCTGTGAGAGCAGGGCAGCTGTAGGTGGAGGTGAGGGGGTGCCCGCGATCCATAATTTAAGGCATCACCTCCCTTAGCTCACCCCTCCTCCTGGCCCCTTACATAAGGGCGACCCGGGACCAGCAGTTCTCACAGGAGAAGCCTGCCCTCTAGGGCTGACTGTGGACACTTCTAATGGTGTGGGTTTTATTAAAAAAATTTTTTTTAAATTGAAGTATAGTTGATTAACAATGTTGTGTTAGTTTCCAGCATCCAGCAAAATGATTGTCATACATATACATATATATTCTTTTGCTTTATAGGTTATTGCAAGATATTGAATATAATTCCCTGTGCTATATCATAGGACCTTGTTGTTTACTTATTTTATATATAGTAGTTTGTTTCTGCTAATCCCAAACTCCTAATTTATCCCTCCCCACCTCTTTCCCCTCTGGTAATTGTAAATTTATTTTCTATGTCTGTGAGTCTGTTTCTGTTTTGTAAATACGTTCATTTGTGTCATTTATTTTTAAAGTCCACATATAAGTGATATATGATATTTGTCTTTGAGTTTACTTCACTCAGTATGATAATCTCTAGGTCCATCGGTGTTGCTGAAAATGGCATTAATTCTTTTTTATGGCTGAGTAGTATTCCATTGTGTGTATATATATATATATATTGTGTTATATTATATATGTGTGTGTGTGTGTGTGTATGTGTATATATATATATATATATATGTATAACACCACATCTTCTTTATCCAGTCATCTGTCAGTGGACATTTAGGTTGTTTCTCTGTCTTGGCTATTGTAAATAGTGCTGTGAACACTGGGGTGCATGTGTCTTTTCAAATTAGTTTTCTCTGGAAATACGCCCAGGAGAGGGATTACTGGATAACATGACAGCTCTATTTTAGTTTTTTAAGGAATCTCCCGCTGTTTTCCATAATGGCTGCACCAAATTACATTCCCACCAACAGTGTAGAAGGGTTCCCTTTTCTCCACACCCTCTTCAGCATGTATCATTTGTGGACTTTTAAACGATGGCCATTCTGACTGGTGTGAGGTGCTGCTTCATTGTAGTTTTGATTTGCATTTCTCTAGTAATTAGCAATGTTGAGCATCTTTTCATGTGCCTATTGGCCATCTGTATGTCTTCTTTGGAGAGATGTTTATGTAGGTCTTCTGCCCACTTTTTAGATTGGGTTGTCTGCCTTTTTGTTATTGAGCTGTATGAGCTGTTTATTTTGGAAATTGAGCCTTGGTTGGTCACATTGTTTGCAAATATTTTCTCCCAGTCCATAGGCTGTCTTTTTGTTTTGTTGACAGTTTCGTTTGCTGTACAGAAGCTGATAAGTTTGATTAGATCCCATTCGTTAATATTTTTGCTTTTATTTCTATTGCCTTGGTGTATTTGTGGAAGAGGGTGAGCTATGAGTCTCTCTACTCCGCCATCTTGGCTCCGCCCCCCCTATTTCTAGTGTTGGGAGACTGACTTAAGAAGACCTTGCTACAATTGATGTCAGAGAATGTTTTGTCTAGGGGTGTTATTTTTGACTGTCATCATGATTTGGGGGCATGGCAAGTGGAGGCAGGCATTCTGCCTCATCCCAAACACCTTTGACCTGAATGATTTTCAAACATCCTGCCAGATAAAGAAGTACAAACCCATTCATAATAACCTGAGCATACACCTTAACTCCATCTTAAGTATGGCATATAGAGTATCTATTTATGTATATACATAGACTATAAATATAAAGAATCTTTTGCATGCTTAATAAACCCCAAATTTTCGAGGGCTGCAATTACTGTATAAATCAGGGGAAGTCTATATTTTGTTTTATTGAGAACCTTTCCAGTTGCTTCGCACTTTGGAGCAATCACATTGTGGCCGCAGCACCTCACCAGCTTCGTGTGAGGCCCAGACCGCTCACCTGGGTCCCTCTGCATTTGCTGGGTCGCATCCTCAGTGATGGTGCATTTCGGTGGGAGCATTGGGATTTTGTGCCCAAACGTTTACATACTGAAGCTCACGTTATTTTGAGTATACATGACTTTCCCCTTTTTTTCTCTCTGATGTCATCAGATGTTGATCTCCTGGACATTATGGTTATAAGAAGGTTTTATTATCCATTAGTAATAGTAAATGGTCATTTCAAAATCCATGCTCCGCCGCCCTAACAACCCGCTCTGACTGGTGAGATGGTGGGAGGACGGCAGCCACTGCCCCATGGATGTCCTGTCATCCTCCAGGTGAGAACTGGAAGGCAGGTACAGGGGTGTCCACGGCCACAGGGCTAAGCTGGCTCTCAGTCCAACTTTGATAGAAGCAAAATTTTCCTGTGATCACTGTCACATGTTCCACGCAGAGTTTTCAATTAGATCTGAACTTGGAAGAGGGGAGGGGGGCTCTCGAAACCCCCTCCGACCCTGGCAGTGGGCTTCACACAGTCTCACCACAGAGACCATGCTCTTGACTGGCATGTTATTCCTGGATTCATGCACTAATTCATGTGGTTCACGCCATATCCTGGTGTATTACCTTGAGAAGGGTTATTTACTTAACATTTTTTTTCTCTGTCAGTTCATTTTTATTTTGTTGTTTGTTTGTTTTTGGTCTTATTTTTTTGGAGGGGGGTAGGTAATTAGGTTTATTTATTTATTTTTTAACAGAGGTACTGGGGTTTGAACCCAGGGCCTTGTGCATGCTAAGCACACACTCTACCACTGAGCTGTCCCCTCTCCCCCATTTTTATTTTATTAAGTTTTAAAAAAATTTATTTTGTTTTGTTTTGGGGGGGTAATTAGATTTGTTTATTTTAATGGAGGTAAGGGGGATTGAACCCAGGACCTCAAGCATGCTAAGCACATGCTCTATTATGATTTATACCCTCCCCTCCAACCCCAGTTCATTTTTAAAGTTACGGAAATACGCTTTAAAAAGAAGTGCTCAGAGTAAAAGCTGAAGTCCTTCCAAAGGACTCTGGGGACCTCCCTGACCTCACCTCCTGCCACCCCCCCCCCACTTGCCTGGGGCATTGCTGTGGGCATGCTGGCTCTCTGCCCAAGCTCCAGCTTTCTGACCTTTGAACTTGGTTCCTCTGGGAACTCCCTGCCTCTGATACTCACTTGGCTCCCTCCCTCTCCTCCGTTTTTACTCAGATGTCACTTAGCAGACCTGCCTTGACCACTATCTACACTTACAGCCTGCCCCACCCCAAGTGTTCCTCTTCTCTGCTTTATTTTTCTGCAAAGCTCTGGACATCATCTGACATGCAGGTTACACTTATGTGTTGCCTGCTTGTCCCCAGCCTGTGAGCTGAGGGAGGTGTAAGAGCCCTGTCTGTTCTGCTTACTGCAGAACGCCGGGTGTCTGCGATGCTGGCTGGCACACAGTAGGTGCTCACCTAACGGAGCTTACACACTAGCTGAAGAATCTGTGACTAAGCTACCAGTTACACAGGTAATCCTTTCATCATGCGTAGGATGGAGGAGGAGGAGTGTGAACAGCTTGGGGAGGGAGTTGCAGGCAGGCCTGATTTAGCTGGAAGATCAGAGTGGGAGCTGACTGCGGGGCAGGGGATTCTTCCCTCTGGAAGTGTTGCTGAAGCTGAGGCTTAAGGGATGAGTCTGGGAGAGCTGGGGAAGAGGAGGAGCCTTCCAGGTGGATGGAACAGTATATGCAAAGGCTTCTAAGCGCTGGTCTCTTAGGACCCTCGGGGCCCTCCCTCTTCTTGTGGGTTTCATCCGCTGAGACCCTAAACATTTTTGTATTTCCTTGGAATTTGTTTCTGGGGAGGGAAGGGGGAAACCAGGCCCCCCAAATTAAGCTCTGTGACATTAACAATCCACTTCCCAGGCCTCTGGGTTGGGGGGTGGCAGGCTCTCTGGGATGCTGTTGACAGGTCCAGACCCAGGACTTTGGCAGCTGTTTCTTTTCCAAGAACAGAGCCACGGCCACCAGAGCCCCTTGCCCCTCTCCTCATGGGCCTGAGATCACAAATGCAGGATTTTCTTTTTCATTAGCTTAATGCTGTCTTTATTAACTGGGAAGGGTTCCTGGAACATATGATCAGTAAGTATTAAATAAAACACACACACGTGCACCAGCCCCCCACCAGCCTGCCCTGATGCAGAGGCTCTGGGCTCCCCAGCAGTTGTCCCAGAAACAATGCAGGGCTACCAGAGGCGGCAGCCAAAGGCCTGGAGGGGGATTTGCAGAAGGAAATTACTCAGGATGCTTCTGCGATTTCTAAATGGGAGCAGAGCGGCAAGCACAGAGCCTGGGAAGCAGACAGGCTCGAGAGAAGGAAGAAGCAGTCTGGGAGACGGACAGGAGGAAGTACCTTTTTCGCTCCCTGCTCTTCTTCCACGCCATCGCCAATCACGATGTAGACAGCTTTCCTGCCGAATCTCTGCATTATCCTCTCGAAGCAGCTCTCCTTCCCTGCAAGCACGGAAGAAGGAAAGAGAGAAAGGCCGCTTGGTGAGGACCCAGGCTGGTGGTGAATAATAACTGCTAATTAAGAACTTGCTGTGTGTAGTCATCTTCCTAAGGGCCAGGGATTATCACTGCATCCTCAAACAGACTTTGAAGTGTCACTGTCACCATCCCCAGGTGACAGAGGACAAGGCAGAGGCACAGATAGGTTAAGTGGCTTGCCCACGGTGACACAGCAGAAGAGGCAGTGCGGTGGGGTAAGCAGGCTCTGGTG